AGGGTCTCTGCGGGCCGGATGAGAGGACATCGCGGGCCGCATCCGGCCCGCGGGGCGTAGTTTGGAGACCCCTGATCTAGGAGATGGGGTCGGACGTTTGTGATGAGATGCCACTTGGTGGATGGGGAGTTTAAGAGCTGTGTCGTGGCATGCAATTCGTTTAAATGTTTTATTTAAAACATCGGCTATATTTTCATGAGGTCATATTTTGTGGACAACCCTTCATTAAGCATATATTTACATATTTTTACTTAACGGTGAGGGTCCCAGAATCTCCAGCGAGCTTGGGTATGGTAAAATTAGTTCACATTTTCCTTGGGTATAATTAAATTAATTCACACGTCCCTTAAGCAGTGGCGTAGCGAGGTCGGGTGTCACCCGGTGCGGCACACTTAATGGTGTCACCCCCAGAGGCGTAGCGACCCTTCCCGGGGACAAACTTTCAACTTTCGATTTGCACCCCCCCCCCCTCAAACTTTCGATTTGCACCCCGTCCCTCAAACTTTCGATTTGCACCTCTTAAAAGACTATTTAACACTCGTATTAATCACTTAATTAAGTGGAATTATCATTTTTCTCTATATATTTTGCTATTTTTTGCCTTGGTGTCACCCGGTGCTGTCCGCACCCCCCGCACCCCCCTCGCTACGCCTCTGACCTTAAGTATGGTTACATTAATTCACATTTTGTTGGGATATGGTTAAATTAATTCACATTTTGTTGGGATATGGTTACATTAATTCACATGTTGTTGTGGTATGCTTAAATGTATTTACATAATACTGTGGTATGGTTAAATTTATTTACATAATACTGTGGTATGGTTAAATTTATTTACATAATACTGTGGTATGGTTAAATTTATATACATAATACTGTGGTATGGTTAAATTATTTACATAATACTGTGGTATGGTTAAATTTATTCACATAATACTGTGGTATGGTTAAATTTATTCACATAATACTGTGGTATGGTTAAATTTATTTACATAATACTGTGGTATGGTTAAATTTATTCACATAATACTGTGGTATGGTTAAATTTATTTACAAAATACTGTGGTATGGTTAAATTTATTCACATAATACTGTGGTATGGTTAAATTTATTCACATAATACTGTGGTATGGTTAAATTTATTTACATAATACTGTGGTATGGTTAAATTTATTTACATAATACTGTGGTATGGTTAAATTTATTCACATAATACTGTGGTATGGTTAAATTTATTTACATAATACTGTGGTATGGTTTAATTTATTTACATAATACTGTGGTATGGTTAAATTTATTCACATAATACTGTGGTATGGGTAAATTTATTCACATAATACTGTGATATGGTTAAATTTATTTACATAATACTGTGGTATGGTTAAATTTATTTACATAATACTGTGGTATGGTTAAATTTATTTACATAATACTGTGGTATGGTTAAATCCCTTCTCCTGCTGCTTGCCAAGAGACACGGTGCATGCATGAAGACATAAATAAGGCGAACATACCATAAGCACAAGAGGGAGATAACCCACATCGTGTGACTGACGGGGCGAAATCAACAAACCAAGGTCGACTGGCGTCACTTGCCCAGCTGTCCGATAACGGTCGTTGTTCACCAACAGCTGTCTGCCCCAATCAAGAATTAGTCACTTGTAGTTTTAGATTTTTATTCCCAAGTGGACATTGTTCTCAATATTCAATCCAGCGTTGGACTGTTTTTTTTAAAGCGCAGAAAAAATGGCTTTCTTTGTTTCTAGTTATTCCAGTTCGCATTTAGAATTCTGTGTTGGCTTTATAATTTAATTAGGGTCTAAGCCGGTAAGATACATAATCTTTTATAAGCCTGTTTTAGCTTGTTATCACTTTCTTCTAGGCTTTTAGTTTTCTTGAGATGTGTAATTTTAGAGGTTAGAATTTTAATCCAAAATACATGCACCTCTAATCAAGCATATTCTTAGTGTATTCCTCTCCCCCACACTATTCTCCTCACACTATTCTCCTCACACTATTCTCCTCACACTCCTGTACTCACGCATGCTCAAGTTCACATGTAACCTGATCTGTATATTATTGACATAACAAGCAACAAAAACAAACCAAGCTTTATGTAGTGTGCAACAGAGTCTAACTAAACTAGAGGATTACGTGTGACTCGAAGTAGTACCCTGTTGATTTACGTAGCATGCAAATGTAGGCTGTCTTTTTTCTACTGCCATTTAGAACAATTGAGTTCCATATAATCTTAAAAACAATTTTATAAGCGTTTCTTTTAGCCAAAATATATGCCTGTCTGCAGTGGCGTAGCGAGGTCGGGTGTTACCCGGTGCGCCACTTAATGGTGTCACCCTCCCAGAGTCGTAGCGACCCTTCCCGGGGACAGATTTTCGATTTGCACCCCCTCCCACCCTCAAACTTTCGATTTGCACCCCCCCATCAAACTTTCGATTTTTCGATTTGCACCCCACCCCCTCAAACTTTCGTTTGCACCCCCCCCCCCCCCCCCCTCAAATTTTTCTCTATACATTTTGCTATTTTTTTGCCTTGGTGTCACCCCCCTAAATGGTGTCACCCGGTGCGGTCCGCACCCCCCCCCCCCTCGCTACGCCCCTGCCTGTCTGCCCTCGTCTGTCTGCCTCTGTCTGGGAATGTGTCGAATCATGTTACTAAATTTTCACTCACTGTTACTGTAGCGGTTTCAAGATAAAGTTCTTTCCGATGACAACACGAGAATATCTAATTTTCAATGTAATGAGATGTTTAATGAGCCATCACATATTGTCTTAGCCTTAGCATTCAACTAAATAGACTCGGTAGCTCAACTGCTTCAATTAGATTGACCTAGTCTATCAACTACTTTATATAGATAGAGCTAGTCTCTTAATAATATAGTCTTACTATCCGAAATAGAAAAAAATGCGCGTTTTTTACTTTCTCGTATATACGAAGTATACAGAAAGTATTGTAATCGTGCACAAAAATGACATGAAATTTAGACAGTTTTCACCGTTTTACTCCTCAGGCCTTCATCACATCCGGAGTATAGAGGACTTATTTTAATCAGGCAAAAATTATAAATACAAATATATAAACATTTTGGCGTTTTATGCGTTATCGAGTCGTAAAAACTGGACTTTGCAAATCTGTCCGTTGTCTGTGTGTGTGTCTGTCTGTGTGTAAACACGATAACTTGAGTACCGTTATAGCTAGGTTGATGAAATTTCATATATAAGTATTTTATCAAAATCGTATAGCGATTTCCGATAACCGGAAGTGGTACTTTTTCTGCTTTGAATTTTTCAAAAGCCTATAACTTGAGTACTATTTCAGATAGATAAATGAAATTTCACATGTATGTAAAAGATCTAATTCTCTACCTTCTGTCAAATTTTGAGTAATTTCCATTGATTGGGATTACTAATTTACGCTATTTCCGACTTCTCAAAAAAAACTAATGGAAATTAAAACTAATAATATTCCGCCCTATTATGCACGTTTTATTTGGCGTTCACAGGTGTGCAATTCTTTTTTCTACGAGATTTTATTCTATTTTTAAAAGTTTAAGTATTTAAAATGGATTAAAATTCATGTCTATATCCCGAGTTCTCATCCTTGTTTTTTTTTATAAAAGAATATTCGAGAAAGTTTAGGGGAGATCGCTCCCGATTTATTTTAAAAATACAAATGTGCATCCAAACAATGGATGTCTGTAAAATTGTAGATACTGTGTGTGTGGGGGGGGGGGGGGGAAAGAAGATGTTCACATTAACCTCCTCTTGTATACTCTTTATCAGCAGGCTTACAAGAGGGGAGGGGGGCTACTAACGTGACTACCACGTGATCTTAGGTTGCTGGTCATTTACCTTCCCACCCAAGCACGCAGTTTCCTCAGACACAACGGTCAACCACCTGATCTTGTCTTGGTAGAGTCTGCCATGCTGCGGGTAGGGGAGGATAGGGTTGGTACGGTGCTGGTATAAGATGAGGATTGTGTTTGAAGTTCTGGTAGCGTTATCGTAGTCATTGTGTTTTAATGCTGCTTGTAATAATGCTGGCATTTTTGTTTTACAGGCGTAAGTTATTCAGCTAACTAATTAACTTTATAGTGACCTTAAATAATAGTAGTTATCCGCGATTTAAATTGTAAAATATATATAACTTAAACATAGTTATCCATAATTAAACATAATGTTATAAATAACTTAAATATAAAACAATCTATTATTTCAGCATTAAGTTATCCATAACTTAAACATAAAGTTATCTATAGCTTAAACATGAATTTATCCATCATTTAAACACAAAGTTATGCATAACTTAAACAGAGAGATATCCATATTTTTACATATAGCAATGTTTTTCTCTGCCAGATAACGTGTGTATGTGAAGTGCTCACACACACGACCTCACTCTCTTATCATGTCCTTGCCGTGTAGGACTGGTGTGAGTAAAATTCTGAACGTGAAACAGCAATGTACTGGGTTCGGTTGTCATAGAAACGCTAGATATCTGTGATGCTGGTCCCGTCCACTCGAACTCTTCAAGCTTTATTTCTGTACTGTTTTTACTGCCACGAAGTTTTGCTTAACTAGCCATTGTCTGCATTACTAAATAGGCCTACATACCCGTCAGCTTTTTTAAAATACTTGATCTAGATCTACTTTATCAGACTACGATGGTATAACCTGTATTTTGGAGAGAAAAAAAACGTATCTTTCATGTTGTAGGTATTAATTTTTCAATTGATTAAGCTTAAGGATTAAGACTATAAAATTTCCACCGATATTAAACAGGTTTATGTACTCCAATAAATTGTTTCATGATCTAAGGTTATTGTGCGATATGGGGAAGGTAATGGCATGCTAGTGTCCACATAAAGATATCAATAACCTTCGTTATATTACATTCGTTGTGATTGTGTCTACTTAGATTTCGTTACAAAAATTAGATTTTCTATACACAATCTTAACTCTTTTTTAAACTTAATATTTCAGACCAGACATGAAGAAACGCCAAGAATGTGACGACAGTTAACCAATTTTACTGGTCCAACATATCTAGAAACTGAATTAGAAACAAAAATACTGTAGACACCTTCAAGAGCGCAGGCATCTGAATGTAAAAAATCTGGCAACCTTGAACACAAGATGAGCGTGGCATACGGCAACATGGGGACGATAACTCACGACGTTCTGATGGCGTCCATCATGATGACCATGATCGGTCTAGTCGGAGTTGTCGGTAACCTTCTGATGCTTCGAGCCCTGATTATTCGTCCCAAACTACGAACAGACTTCTACACAGTATTCGGCGGGCTGAGTATAGCTGATACCCTGTCCATTCTCATCAGTGTGCCGTATTACGTCACTGATATGCATCAACTCAGCAATTTAAATTCGGAGATTTGGTGCAAAGGGAGTACGTACCTGATGCATATGTGCGGCTTCGTGGCGGCTTTCTTGATGGTCGTGCTGTCAGCTCTACGAGGAATCCTTCTGTTGAACAGAAACACAATCAGACAGCCCCGCGGGATGCACTTGTTGATTGTTAACATCGTGTTTTACGTGGTGGCATTAGTGTGTAGTGTTCCTACGCTCCAGTTGTATTCATACGAAGAAGGATTTTGTTATAAACAAAAGGAGGTGTACATCCAGGAGACGTGGCTTGTTGGTTCCTTCTCGGCCTTTATTCCAATATGTCTGGTGTCCATCATATACATGGTCACGTACATCATGGGCTTGAGGTACTGTTCCGACAGCTACTCTAGAAGGGATAAAGAGCAGTCTAGACTAGTGACTTGTATGTTTGTGGCCTTCGCTGTTTGCCAGCTACCTTACCGAATCATGGCGGTTTACTATGCTTATGTTGATGACTTCTCGAATGATTATGATAACTTCGAGACATCTATAACCATAAAGAACTATCTACTGTGTCTGGTTATGGCCGACAAAGCAATCAGGCCTGTGCTGTACTCTAAAATCGCGTCGGACCTCAGCGATAGTTTTGATGAGATCGTCAACTGTACCTGCTGTACATGCAGGTGTTGCTGTAAGACTTACAACATGGTGCCCGTCATGGAGAACTCGCTCAACTCCAACCTGGAGGCTGGCACCTCACACAGCGAGATCTCGACCATCGCGGGATCCTACGAGACCAGGTCCCGGGACGCCGACAGGACCCAGTCCACGTCGTCCAGCGGCTCGGCCACGTCCCACACGCCTCTCATACGCAAGGAGGATGAGGTGATTGAGTTGAGTGAGGAGTTCAGGTAGAACTGCTCCCTTCCTGTTGCATGAATGGGCCTCTAACATACTCCAAATAAACAAAATCTTGTCCTACACCTGGTTACAAAGTATGCTGACGAAGGTCCTATTCCTTCTTATAAAGTATGCTTTGGTCCTATATCTGCTCACAAAGCATGCTGACTGCGGTCTTATATTTGCTTACAAAGTATGCCGACAAAGGACCTATGACCGCTTATAAAGTATGCTGTCTGTGGTTCTGTATCTGCTATCTGAACTGCCATGAAATAAGAACTGCTCCTGTTTCATGAACATACGTGTGGTAAGAATTTATTTGAAATAATTCAAGGTGTTAGAACCTGATCACAATTTGACAAACAAATGTCACCATGATGAAAACTTTGTGATAAACTGCTCATGTTATACATTGCTCCTGTTTTTTGATTCATTTGAAATTGTATTATTTTATATTATATAACTATACAGTATTCTAGAACACATTGATTTGACTGAAAAAATAGGGCTAATATTTTGTTTAATATTTTTGGCCAAAGATTCCGTTGGCTATCAAAGTGAGAAGTACAGTGATTCTGGAGTACATTGAAATCTCAAGTTTAAATTTGGCTTTCACAGTTATTGAGTCACTTTTTTTTCTGGGTCTTTCATTGTTCATCTAAAAAATGTATAAATGTATTATTGAAGTTTCCTTTCAAGCACCTTGGAGAATTTCCTATGGCTTTTTTTTTTTTTTTGGTATCACTTTTTCAAAAAGATATTTGGTTTAATAATCATATGAAATGTGTTTCAAACCAAGTATTTTAATGCATAAATTGTGTAAAATGTGTTTCAAACCAAGTATTTCAACGCATAAATTGGGTTCTATTATAAATGGCAGTAATGCAGGTGTGTATTTGTATATGTTGGACAGTACTCACACATAATATAGAGTTGTATATGTCATGTTTTAAATCCATATCTCAGGACATCTTATGACTGGTTGATTCCCTATTACATACAAACCACATTCAGTAATGACCCTATGATAAAAATGGACAGTAATTGTTTATACATTTTTTTTACTATCAAGCCAATATACATTAGTAAAAAATGTAAACTATTAAGCTTATATAGACCTGCATTAGCCAAATAAAATGTTAACTATCAATCTAATCTAGACTTACATTAGAAAAATATTATGTTAACTATCAAGCTAATATACATTAGTAAAAAATGTTCACTATCAAGCAAAATAAAATGTAAACTATTAGTAGTATACAAGCATGTTAGTATAACAAATGTTTTTTTTTTTTTATCAGGGTGTCATTTCCAACCAGTTTCAGCTAAATGGCAATATGCTTCAATGCTCAAATTTGATTCTAAAGTCAGTGTAAATACACCAAAATGGCAATGGTATCCGTTTGCTCAATATTTTTTCCTTCTTGTGTTTAGTTCACACAGAGACTGAATTTGGCAGCACTTCTTTATGCATTTTAAAAAAGATTTCATATTCTTCAGGTTATTCTTTAATTCATTTTTAATCAAAACTTTTTTTTCTGAGTGCCTAATTAGCTCCTAAGTTTAAAGGGATTTTATCAGCGGCTAATCTTACTCTAGCTTGCTATAAAGTTTGAACCATTACAGGTAGGTTTGCCTTATTTATTTTTTTGTTATTAAAATACACAAAAGTAATTTTTTTAAAAGTCAAAGATACCCAACATTTTTTCCAATTGATTATGTATGAAGCATTTCAATCTAGCAGTCATCATTTGTTTACTATGAAGTAGCATTACCATTATAATAAGAACTTGTATTGTTATAAAATAATTATAAACAATATGTAAAGAAATGGTTTTGGTACATGAAGCATGTAGCAAGCTAAGCGTGTGATCTAAATAAAAAAAAAACCTGTGGTTTACAGTGGAGAAATTACTTGCCCCATCTTTCCACAGTTTGTGGGTTGTCAGATAAGCTAGTATTTGTTACATTTGATGTTTTGTGCTGATTCAATTTAAAGATGAAGAAATGTATCACTAGAATAACTACAAAAAATATTGTAAGGCTAAACCAATTTTTGGTTGTGGTAAATGTCATCCAAGTTTGTAAACTGTAACTAAGCAAGGCATACTCAGTCAACCACAAAGATTGTGTAATGCTGTATATGATCATTTAATATATCATATAACACCAGTAGGCCTAAGTAGTCATGCGCTTGGCCAAATTTTTTACAGTCAACTTCAGCTCCACATTATCAATTTCACCCCTCCTCCAGTTTACCCCCCTCCCCCCAGCTTAAAGTTACATACGTTAACCCCATTAAAAAATATCTGGTGTTCTAAATTTGAATAGTCAACACACCGAGTTCAAGGTTATCCCCTACTGGTGTTGGTTGGATTACTCAGCTCAGCTGTGTTCGCCGGGGTCAGACTAGCTGCTACTACCACTAGACACAGGTGGCGCACATAGGGTTTATGCAGAATAACAGAAATATTTAGCTCGTTTTTAGCTTCATTAATCTCTTAGTATTTATATATTACGTTGACATAATTTACATACCCATTTTATGTAAAGGCAATTGTGTGTGGTTAGATGGAAATAGATGTCTCACATGCAGCACACTTAAATAAATGCTAGATGAAGTAGACAACCGTGAAGGTGCATATGACCCAACCCACCCCCTCTCCACCCCATGCGCTGCTTGCATCTGCTTTGTTAGACTGATACTGATAGAATCATGGCCTCGGTGCACAGTCCTGGCAAAACAGCAACGCATTCCGCCGTGTGGCGCTGCATAACCATTGTCTACATTAGGCCTACATGCGGAACATTTGATGTAGATCTAGGACTAGCCTCTTCCCGGTGTAATATCGTGAGACTCCGATGCCCTATACATTATTGTTGGTTGTAGGCCTACTTTTTTATAAAAATATTCTGCTGAGTTTTTCAATGTAAACTTTGGTACCTTCTCGTAAAATTTTAAAAGCATGAGTGATTTTAATGCTGGTCGACCATGCATAAAAATTATGAAACATAAACGTATAAATTGTTTTTATAATGTTTAGCAGTTAGCTAAAGCATTTTAACTTTAACGTCATTTTCAAATGATTATTTTTACTGTAAAACACTAGATCGGCCAAGATAGGCCTAAAATTCTAATTTTTCACGGTATGATAATTTGCTCAAGAACGTTATAATCTGTTATCTATTTTTTCTATTGTTTTATTTTATTTTAATGTTTTAAAAGTATGTTAGTACAAATGTTAAAAAACCTATGGCTAGCCAATGAGACTTGTCTGATGCATTTCCAACCGAACATTAAACGCTGACATTGCGAAATTTACAATTGATCGATATCTAACCGCAGGTACAAAATAATCGGATTTTTGAGGGGTGGGGGTCTAACAATAAATAACGTCCCTTAATCAAAGAATGTTGGGAAAATATTTCCTAACATTGTAAGAGTACGAAAGTTAATTGATTTTTACTTTAAAAAAAAATATCTTTGTTACAAATACTGGCAATTATTACTTTCATTGTATGCCATATGTTGTTTTTAGGGAACAATTATCGCGTTTTTTCTTCTGCTTTAAGTTTAATCTGGTAAATAAACATTTTGGGGTAAAAAAAATCACTGCCCGAACACGTGGTCATAGGATAAAATACTGTTGTCGTTTTTCTGCCTATACACCGGGCTATTTATTAAAAAAAACTAAAACGATTAAAAATCGTATTTAGTTGTAAAAGCGTATAAGTTAGGGCGTTAGGGTTTGCTATGATAAAAAGACAGGCGAACTTGAAGCGGCCCATGAACAGACGGCTGTTATTTACCAGCCAGCCTGCCTTACGTGGAGCAGGCCGCGTAGCCTGCCGCCGAATGTAGGTCTCCAGTTCAATGGCCTGACCTCAGGCAGACACCAAGCTCGTGCTCGCTAGCCTTGCCCGCTGCTGGTGTTACAAAGTCATTAAGGGAACAAGATACCCATGTTTTCGATAAAATGTCAATTTTGCTCCCCAAAATTTTTATTTCTTAATTCGATACTAATACCTTTTATCTATCTACCCCGAACATTTTGGACTTCTACAGCTTACGGTTATTCGTTTATTGCGATGTGAAACATGGTACCCCCCGGCAAGTTTTCACACTACTACGCGGACAGCGGCTATCTTCGAGCGGGTATTACATCATTTATTGCCCGCGAGGCACCATAAACTTTACAGCAATCTAAGGGCCAAGCACTCGTGTACCCGCTGGTGTAGTGACCTTTTCTTTTGTTCTAAAAATAATTGGGATAGAAGTTGTTTTCTACAAAGTAAAATTTTATATTAAACTCCATATAAGGGCATGCGCGTAAAATTTATGAATGGGAAGAGGTTCATTGATACGCTTGACCAATCATATTATAGTACAGTAAATCAAAATAATTCACGATAGGTTGCAACTAACCACGTGTGCTAGGCAGCCATCTTGTTTCTAGATAAACAAAACAATCGCCTGTCTCGTTTGTTTACATCATCTGCGTATACTCTTCTATTTGTTGTTTTAAAGTTATACGACAACATTAAGTTTAATAATTGAAACTTTGCCTATAAATTTACTGTTGATTATCACTGGAACAATATTAAACACTGTTTCGTACGCTTTAAAATTATACTAAGCTGAAACAATGCGTCATGGAAATGACTATCAGTTTGAAGAATGTACTGTCCATCCCCTTTACCCCCTTCATCCCCTTCTCGCCATTCAACCAACGGCCGGTTTATAATCTTGTTACGGCATGCTGTGATAGGCTTGAACGCGTTCATCAGGCTTTACACCGGACTGTATACGACACATGTGTTAATGTGTATGCCCATCTCTCCGTATAGGGTGTGCTAGCAACGAATGTAAATACTAGATAGTTGTAGATAGGATAGCTGGGAAGCTTTCACTTAGGCCCTGTACTTGACCCTATCTACACAGATGTGTTATTCGCGGTTGAATGAACATTGGTAATCTATGGCTCATCATCGGTTCCTCATGCACTATCCAGCGGTGGGATGGGGTGGAGGGGCGTGTCTAGCCTCAAGCGTTGTACCCAGTGTTGTGTTGTAGGCTATTATCATAAGGCAATAAACTTGTGTAAGCTACAATTTGAGTAGAGAAAGACATTGTTTTGAAGTGAGAAGACCGGCTAACAAACAAAACTTGATCTGGTTTGATGATAGCTGTTCTGAGAATACCGCTCGATTGATAGGATGTGTAATACTTAATAGTCATACATTCATTACTGTTGTATACATATTTTCTGCTTACATAGAAAAAATCTATCTAAAGCTTACAACTTAAATCAAAGCGTATTTTATTAGACAAATGGTTCTTCCACATATAACAAGACGTTTTTTTCTGTTTTCTATAAGAGAAAACGCACCGTGCCTTTTCCCGCTCTTCTTTTCACGATTTCTCAACTTTGCATTTTTACTCAAAATTCGACATTCAAATCGCTAAGGCTTTGGTACCCTTTGTCATACAAGAATAAAACATTCCACGTGCGTTCAGCATTATACCATCTACAAAACTACGTTTGTACATTAAGTTTACTACAATACTTAAGGAAATATTGATATTTTTGTAACACCACCCCCTAATTTTTGTACATAAATTTACGTAAAAATTTGTATAAAAAATTGAGTACAAGCTATCGCAATGAGTAAACGTAGAAATGTACAGTTTGGTGTGAGAAATCTAAATCTTTCATCCGCTTTTTAAAATCTCTTATGGGAACAAAGCCTTAGCGATTTGAAAAGGTGTTAGTTTTCACACCTTTTCGCGGTTTCCATGGCAACCAGTACTGCTATTGACGGCTATATATTATTTTTGTCTATAGTTTAACAACTATAATTATATGAACTTATTAAACAACCAGAAATGTGTTAAATAAAAAAAATTTTTTTATCCGTGGTGCCTATCCTTAACAGGGGAGAGAATCGTTTTATTGCCATGCCCCTAGAGTTATCTATGGTTAAGTAGATCAATGTAATCTTGTCCATTGTTAACAATCGTGTGTATGGAAATTGAATGGTACAACAAATGATGACTCTCAAGATTGAATACATTTTTCACGTCATCCAACAATGCTTTGATTTTCTTTAGGCCTAGTTGCAAAATGGTTGATCCTTTACGTTTCCAGTATGGGAGATAATCGACCCTTGGAAATGTTTTCAAGGGGAGGTAAACAATAACATATTGGCTTTTTTTTATAGAAATGTTTATGACATATGGTATTGTTTACAAGATGATAGAGTCATGTAGGCTACAGCTTCAACAAACCACAGCCCCGAATAAACTTTTCCACTGTCAAGTCCATTGTCTTATGTCTATGCTCATTGAATGATCAGGTCACCAACATAAAGTTAGCTATCTTCAGTCACATAATTATGCTAGATGGGTAATCAGTCAACATGACTTAAGTTGCCTTATTCAGTCACTTCACTATTCTAGCTAGGTGACCAATCCCCAATTTGACTTCAGCTGCTTTAATCATAAGTCATTTCTTATTTTTTACTCTTCAAATTTCAGACTTTAACTACTAGGCCTATCAAGTTATCTCTTTATGAGCAAAAATTATCATAGCATTTTATCAGTTGCATAAATGTTGTATGATGCAAAGTGTTATCATGTGATTATTGTTAATAATTGAAATAGCATTTATTGATTAAAAAAAAAAATTTATGATAAATCTTTAAGCTTGTGGGCTATTTGTACAAACCCATTATAATTCCCGGTGTAACTCTCCCTAATAAGAAGTTTTAGAAGTGAGATGATCATGTAACTCTTCAGTGTGAGAAGTGTGACAAATGAGATGAGCATCTGTGTCCATCAGAGTCATGTGCATCATTATAGACAGCTTGGATCCTTTAGCAATCTTTGTTCATGGCAGCTCCCCTATCAGAGGACAGTGGCCTTATTATACCAGTCAGTCTTAGCTTATGAATTATTCATTAGCCATCCTGGTGGCTTAAATTAACAGGAGAGAAAAATGTGTTTCCAGCTCACATTCTAACCATCTCATCTAAAGTACAGAAATATTTTGAATCCCAGAAGTAATTAATAATTTTAAAGATTTACCTGCAAAATCTTAGATAAAATTGTACGTCAACTATACTTCAATCTTTTATTCAAAAACTTAGTTGAAGATTCTTTTAGGTAATTAAAGCAAAAGAAAGTTTTCTACTTTCTACATATTAGTGTAAGTAGATATGTCAACGCCTTTTTGTTAGACCTTCAATAAATAATTTTTTTACAACTAGCAGTTCTGATATTTTACGTTACTTTTTGTTAATGTTGCCATTATTCTAGCCAAATAACACTTCTGCCTTGACATTAATTGTGTATAACCTAATTATGTTGTGTAATTTTAAGTTATTTCTTTCATAATCTAGCTGCAATCTTGTTTTGATTAACAACATCTTGCTCAGTGGTTTAACTCTTGTATTGATATAAACAATATAGCATTTTTTTTTAAATTATTTTGTAAATAGCAGGTTTTGATTCAATCAGGTCTACTTATTTTTTTCTAGAGTCAGCTCACTTTACCTTCAACTGTTGCATAATTTCCTTTTCATCCAGTCTCATCTTTTTTTAAAAGACGATTAAATACTAACCCAATTTTTCTAACAGTTGGATGATATAAAAGCTCAAAGTTTGAACCTCGTTAAGAAATAGTTTATTAGCATTTTTAATGTTTTTATTTTGAATAAAATTTAATATTCAAATATAAACAAAAATTCTCAAAATAGCATTTAAAAGAAATGTTTTAGTGAGAGTAGCTTAATGATCAAGGTCGTATTATTCATACAACAACTATGATATAGTAACTCATAAGTAAGTTTGATTAATAACCAACCTATATAATGTTTTTTTTTTATGTTAATTACCTTAGAAGTGTTTTATGTATTTGTTGGCAGAAACAAATGCCTCTTCTAAAAATTCCACTGCATAACAAACATTGTTTTAAACCATTTCATAAAAAATTGTTTCAAACCATTTTATAACAAAGAATTGTTTTAAATCATTTCATAACAAAGGATTACTTTAACTGATTTCATAACAAAAGATTGCTTTAAACTTTGGTTTGTTCTAGTGTCTTACACATGGAACATACCATGACTGAGGTAAAAATGGCATTGTACAAATCAGACAGTCTTGTACTTACATTCACCATACAAATCAATGTTCTTTCAAAACCATGGCCACAAATCATGTTTTAAAACTGTAAATTGTATACAATTTGTTCACTCTTTTTAAAAGTTTAATGCATCTATCATTTCAAACAACAATACATTTGTCTATGATTTTAAATTTTTATAATTCTCTTTGATTTAAACTAACCCTGAACTTTGCAAGGCTCTGATAAAGAACACTACTTCAGATAAGTTTATCTTGATCTATTATTAGAACTGCTGACATCTAGTTCACCTTTGACCCCGTGGAAGAGCTGTTGAAATCAATTTTTTTTAATAGTTGAAATTTGCAGTTCGTTTGATATCTAAAAACTCTGTAAAGCAAATTGTCAGAAATATTGTAAAATTACTTACAAGACAATATTTTAACTTGTTAACATTTCTACTTATCAATACGGCCTATCCCATGTTAATGTATATTTAAAATGTGTTTAAAATTAGTTCCAGCAAATCCAAGAACAAATAAGCAATGAACATGTAGACACATTAAAGTCTCTACATTTCTATGCAGCTTATATCTCACACTTAAAATTGTCACTGTTTTAATTTTAATAGCCTAAACAAATCCCAACCTCTGATCAGAATGGGATGATGCCCTAAAATTTTTTTTTTCTCCTGTTAAAAACCCTGCCTGGACATAGTGTTTAAATACTGTAAACTACATACATTTTGTTCACAAGTAGTTACATATATGTTGTACCTTCTGCTGGAAATAACAGAATTGTGACCAGATACAACAT